TTGAAGACTTGCTTGACTTACTTCTTAACTCTTGAACTTAACTCTTAACTTCACTTGACTTGGAAACTAACTCTCCTTGAATTGGATTATGAATTCAAGGTGTTTGGTCACATGTTACGGATGAGTTCGGGAGGTTTAAATGTACCTTAGAGTGTTGGAAACAACTATAAATCATAGGTACAATACCAAGGAACATGCATGGGACAGTATGAAATGAAAGGGAACACTTGGTGTCCTTGGCGCTCTGAGAGGCGCGGAGCGCCAGCCCCAAAACTTCAGAGGGGACCTGCTGGCACTCTGAGAGGCGCGACGCCCCAAGGGGGAAACTTCAGAATCCCTTTTGGGGCGCACTGACAGGCGCGACGCGCCAACCCCCTTGCCCAGAAATTCGACTTTTCTCCCTTGTTTTGCCAATTCTAAACCACCCTTCCTTCAAGGGTTTCAGCCCCAAACATTAAAAATCATCAAATCCCTCAACATACAAGAGATTTAACTCAAAACCACAACCAAAAACATGCCCAAAACAACAAGGGGCTTCAACAACACCAACAATAATATCAACAAGATCAACAACACATCCAACAACTCCAACAACACAACCAATCCTTTCTTAATAAATAGAAGGGACTTGGTGTGTGGGGAAAAGGATCAACCCACACTATGAACTCACATACCTTAATAGGGATCACCCCCGACAATTTTCACAACGATCTTTGACGGAAGCTCCTTGATTCCCTCTTCTTCTTCTCTTCTTTCTCTCTTCCCCTCTTCTTCACTCAAGAACCCTAACTCTTACTCTTTTAAAATGGGATAAAAATGATCTAAAAATCAGTCCAACACTACAATATAACCAAAGGAATTGGTTAGGGAAAAGACCAAATGCCCTAAATTTCCGGACGGATTCCCTACCAACTGCCCAACTTTCAAATGGCATAACTCACTCATACGAACTCGGAATCGAGCAAACTCGGTGGAGTTGGAAAGACCATTCCACGAGCTATGCAACCATAATCGGAACTACACCTAACTCATCCTGAGATAGAAGTTATGACTGCTCAAAGTTGGCCAAAAAACTCACCTTTTTCCATACTTAGCCAAATTTTCAGATTTTTAAATCTTTCCAAAAAAAGACTATTTCCAATTCTAAGCCTCTTCATAGTTATTTCAAATTGCCGGATGTTACAGTCAGCTTGTACATCATCTCTTCTATAATTGGCTTGTACATTAATTCTATCAGCCTCATGCACATATGTCAAACATCTTTATCCTTCATTCCGTACCATTGCACAAAACATGTAAAAATCCTCCATTGATGGTTGATCACCGAGTGATTTTGCTTTATCAACCATCGAATGAATATAACGCACCTACATATTATAAATAATTCATTAAATATAATGTAGCTAAACTACTGCACACAACTAGTCTCTATGTTAAGAAATGTTTCTTTTTAATTAGCTATTGTATAGTGCACTATAATGTAGCTACTGTAATGTATATCTAACCTAAGTAGCAGGATATATATGATAATTATTTTCAGCATATCAGTAACATTGCAATGGGTTGTGCATTACATTAAATTCTGGACAAAAACTTAAAATACTAATTGCCAAACTACTCACACATATTTAGTTAGATTCTAAGTCTTTCTGTTGCACAAAAATGCTTATTTTGGGAGTTGGCAGACAAATGCTAATGACATATAAAGCTTAATAGGCTATCGTTGGATCATAATAAGTCTCTTAGTACACAAATAAACAACTTATAATTAATTCAAACAAGCAAAAGAACAGAAGCTAATACTTACTATTGTTTCGTATGCCGTTGAATTTGGCACATAACCTTGTTGTTGTTGAGGACACAGAGTAGGATTACCAATAACAAGACGAGTAATGCGTCTAAACCAAATAAGGTAGGGGTCGTCATATCGAAGTGGTTCACGATTGATTGGTGCTTCACAAATATATTGAAGTCGTTGGTTCCAAAAAGGCAACCATTGTGCATGCTTCAACTCCCAATTTGTATTTGGTCTTCCCCGACGGTCATGGTGAAAATGTGTCGAATCAAATAAAAATGGAGTTGGTATCATCTGTTTCAACCCAAATTGCCTCATAACTCGGTCAGGCAAGTGAACCTCGACGACATCCCAACAAAAAATTGGAGCTCTAACACGCCATATATCTCGTCCAATGCGACAATAGTCAGGAAGACTCTCAATTAACTCATCAGAATATGGTTCCCAAATAAACTACATGAAAAGAAAAAATAAATGAGTTTAAACTACAATATACATGAAAATTAAACAAAATTGATATTATATCGTACCTGATCCTCCGTCATGGATTCAAGTGCATCCCTAAACACTTTCAACACATGCTTAGTAGTGTCAGTCCAACTAAAACGTGCAAACCATCTAGTAGCATGTGGACCTTTAGGTAAATCAGTTGGAAAAATATTTCTGATGTCTCTTTGTGCTATTACCTGTGGTCTAAGGACCGTAACTCTCTCCCATGCCCAAATCTAAACATAATCTATAATTTAAGTAATTGAACTACAAGAAATATTAATAAATAATTTATTTAGTTATTAAGTATACCTGAAGTAGTGGTAGAAATCCAGCTATCTCGTTTTGGTTACTTTGTGAGGACTTACAGAGAAAACGATACAAGCACGCTAAGGTCGCACTACCCCAACTATAAGACCCAATTGCATTGACGTCTTCGAGCATGGGAAGATACATAAGCTTTAAAAAACTACCAGATGTATCTGCCATCATCATACCAGCAATCATCCAAAACATGTAACACCTAGCCTTTTGATTAACCATATCTTGTGTTGCCATGTCCGTCAACTGTGGTTGCCTTAGCATGTGCGCATTAAATGTAGAGACCTTAAGGCTATTATGGTTGAAGTCTTGAGGACATGGAGTAAAACCTAATAATATTTGGCAAATATTTTGCCAATCTCCTATAGTCCTAATCAACTCATTACCAAGTACAAGATGACCATTCACAGGTAAGCCATACAACACCTCTACATCTTACAAGGTGATAGTTGTCTCACCCATTCTAAAGTGAAATGTATGTGTCTCAGGACGCCATCTCTCGACTAGGGAAGTGATCAAACTACGATCAATCATAGGCCGATGAGACCTGTAAACACCGTACAATCCAGATAATTGAATCACTTCTAAGACTCGAGGAGGGATGGGATATTTCTTTACGAGGTCCCAAAATTTACCATCACACCTCCTCGTATTTAGAATCATATTAACACTTCCATCCCATATATCCCGTGATCTATGGGTAATTTGTTCCGTTAATACAGATGATTCAAGTGGACCGGGGTCTAGTTGGTATGCAATATTATCAGCCATAAAACTACCTATATAATAAAAGAAACACATATGACATTAAAATTATTAAATGGACAAAATCATATAACATCCACTAAATCTTTTAAACTAGTATTAGCTAGTCACGCCAATTATTCATCAAACATATACATGTTATTTGCTGCCAAAATGAAAAAAATTAAAACAAGCAGAAAAAATAGTGTAAAGAAAGGGCCATAAAGATGGCAAAAAGAGTGCTTTTTGGCATTCTACTTTCATCTCCTCTCCCCTTAAATATTCTTCAACCAAACCTTCTATTCCCCAATCTTTCCCTCCCTCTTACATCAAACCAAACTTAGTTGTAGTACACAAAATTGTTAGATAACTTGTTTTTCACTTTCTTTAGAAAATATAAAAGAAACAAGAAACTAGAAATTATTCATTACTGGTGCAAGTGTTTTACTGAAAAAGAATATTTTTCAATGTTCACTTTTAACATACATGAATCTTCTAAATAAAAACACGACATACAAGAATCGAAGTTATTTGATTGATTCTATTCAGAAGTATTCTACACAACAAAAACGATATAAAACGAGAAGATAGAAATTCTTAAATCCAAGCATTTCTTCTACTGCTTTATGAGGAAAAAACATACCGGAAAAATTATTATGTTCCAAGCTTTTCGTAAGATTTATGGCAGTAAATTATTGTGAATCTTCCTTCTCTGTAGTTACTAGACGGTTGGTTGGAGCACTGCAATATGGAGAAATCATAAAATTTGTAATTTAAGAGGGAGAAAACAGAGTAGCAAAATCATCTTGTTATAATGAAACTTCATACTTTGAAATCAAGCTGTTCGAGAGGAAATCTAAGCTTCATAACAAGGTTCCGACAACACTTCATACTGAGCTTCCGACATCATCAAGAGTTGAACCATAATTTCTCAGTTAATCTTGAGACCTAAGACAATCTTGAATCGCAGGTACATAAGGGTCGAAAAATTCTTGAATAGCAGTGCAAGGGGCCGAAGATTTCTTGAATAGAAGGTTTAGGGCTGGAAATTTCTCTAAATTGCTAATAAAGGTTTTGGTGAATGAATTTTAAATTGAAACTCACAATTGATATACAAATAAAAACGACGCCGTGTATTTGAGATGTGGGCCTAGAGTACTTTTAAAACATAAAACGTTACTCAGAGTAACGTATTAGGCTAAAAACGTGACTATGAGTAACGTTTCTATACTTAACACCGTCAACTACAATATTCCACATAGTTGGTCCTGAAACGTTATTGAGAAATACGTTTATACTACTTTTGTAAAAAAATTAAAAAACATATTATTTTGGTGAATTGCTTTAAATAATGGTTTAGTTTGGTAAAAAATTCTAAAAGTAGAGCCAGGTAGATTCATTCCACAATGTAATAATTTCGAAATTTTCAGATTTAACATCAAATGCTGCAATAGCAGATTTGGGAGCACTATCAAACTGATAGATAACTCCGCTAATAAAAACACTAGGCTTACCATATAGAAGAGAAAGGAAATTACTTTGAGTCTCTCTCCACGATTCATCTATGCCTAAAGTTAAAACCCATTGTTTTCTGTAACCACTTAGCTTTTCCGAAAAAAACATTTTGTTCTTGTTCTCTTGTGGCTCAAAACCTATTAAATAGTTTCCACAATTATTTGGGCGCGGAAGAGATCTAACTTCTCTTGTACCGGGATAGAAAATTATAGCAGATCGCACAGTTAATGGTTCCCAAACGCATAATAAACCATTAGCGCAATTCATACGAGATTTATTTGTAGGTTCAGTAAATTGAAAAAGGGAGGCACACATATTTCCACCTTTCTCTTGCTCAACCGAGTGAAAACCTTTCCTTTCATGGAGAAACAACTTTATTCTAGGACGCATCATAGAATGACATCTATGGATATCCGAAAAATGTGATTCGGATACTAGAGAATTATAAAATCCGAAAACACACTTAAAACATATTAAAGATTTAACAGGAAGCCATGAGAATATTTCAAACATTATTTCATCAGGAATTGAGACTTTTCTTCTTCCGAATTTCTTCATCTTCGTCTCCATAGTTGATTGCTGAAGGCTGCGGCTCAAGTTTTTAATGCTTTCAGAAACCCTCTGTATAGTTGATTCCTCCCAATACTAGGAAACTAAAAAACACAGAGCGTTTATTTTTCCATAGTTGGGGGTTAAAATTGTCTTACCATATTATTTTCCCTCAAAAAGTTCATAACAAAAAATAAAAAATATAACAATACTATGTATGATTTTGGTAGAGGAGCATGGATTCACCTGATCCAGTGACCACTACTGCAAATGTGTAACATCCGACAATTTGAAATAGCTAAGAAGAGGCTTGAAATTTGAAAATTTGAAAATTTTTTTTGGAAAGGATTTGAAAATCTGGAAAATTTTGGCTAAGTATGGAAAAGGTAAGTTTTTGGCCAACTTTGGGCAGTCATAAATTCCATCTCAGGATGAGTTAGGAGTATTTCCAGTTATGGTTGTGAAGCTTGTGGAATGATCTTTCCAACGCCGCCGAGTTTGCTCAATTCCGAGTTCGTATGAGCGAGTTATGCCCTTTAGAAGTTGGGCAGTTGGAAGGGAAATCTGTCCGGAAAATTAAGGGCATTTTGGTCTTTTCCCTAGCCATTTCTTTTGGGATTATATTGTTGTGTTAGGCTGATATTTGGATCATTTGGTCCCATTTTAAAGAGAAAAAAAAATCTAGGGCTTGAGAGAAGAAGAAGAGAAGAAGAAGAGAAGAAGAGGAGAAGAAGA